TTCAATTCTGGAAAAAACACCAATATCCAATGATTGAGCTGCCATCAGGGCAGGTGCAAGTAGGTGTGACGTGGTGGGATGTCATTAAAATTTTTGTTGAGTAAAAAATTAGGTCCTTGTTTTTTGAAGTTCGACGACTGACCTGTCTAAAAGGTCTACATTTGCCGACTTCTTTAAAAGGGTTATTTTTGCCGACTAAATGCACAAAAAATGCATTTAGGAAGGTGTGTGTGTAAATGATTCGTAAATTTAAATAATCTTTCCCCGTTATTGAATGGTTTAGAATTTGTAACTAAAGAGGACTAATTTCATAGCTTGTAGCAGTAGCATTTACTGTTATGATATTGCCCTTTTTTAAGAAATCTTGTTGTCCAAACAACTAATTATAAATTGGATTGTTTATCTTTCCCTAACTTGAGGAAAATCTTTATGAACAAAAAAGTGATTAGAAGAGAGTCTTTTTTTAACTTTCTAGGAGTGATTATAGATGAAAATATATCATGGAAATATCATATTAAATCTATTGAAATTAAAATATCCAAAAATACTTCAATGCTATATATAGTTAAACCTTAACTTCATTTAGCATAAAAAATATATAGTTTTCTTAATACGGAGTCTTTGAAAATTATATATTTTTCATTTAGGGAGAGTGGGGCAAAGTGGGTCGAATTTCTTTCTTTTTTAATTTGAGTGAAAGTTAAAATATATATTTTATGTTTGTCAAGGCTAAAGGATTGAGAATATGTCCTTCATGATAAGAAATAACTAAAATCTAAATATATATTATCTAACAGCTCACAGAAAGGTTTAAAGTGAGTTTTGTTAAGTGATTCACTGTACCCCAGTACTGGGGTACAGTGAAACAATTAACTCATTTGCAATTTAGTGGTAGTTAATGGGGGCGTTGCCAAATAATTTTGAGGATGAGGGTGTAAATACATTGTACACTATACTTTTGGTGCACTTTTGGTAACTAATATTAAATAATTTAAATTTTTTCTGATTGACAAAATAAAGAATAAATTTTATTGATAACAAAACTTATTCAACCATCTAAAATCACAAAAAAAAATTTATTTAATAAAACTTATTTAACCAACAACACAAGAAATTTTTTAAAGTGAATTTTTAATTTTTATAAACATTTTTATCACAGTGAATTAACCGTTTCACGGTTAATTCACTGTGATAAAAATTTATTCATTGTGAATTAACCCCGATTCATTGTGCCCCACTATAAAAAATAAGGTTCAAGTTTAATTTCTTGGGACATGAGTTTTATTAAAGGAAAAGCAAAACTACTAAAATGAACCATAAAGATCAGTATTCCGAATATAAAACTTTAACTTATAAAATGATTTTAACCATGATCTCCACAACAAACATAAAGATGGTAAGAGCATTTACTTTAGTTAGCTAAAAACATAAATTACCTACCTAAAACCGAGAGTCAAAAATTATGTGGTAACACCTATAAATAAAGATGGGTGATATATGCGCACATAAACTTATTACATCATCGTGATGAACAAAATCATAATCTTTGAAAAAATGCTTCTTATTCACTGTGCCCCTCAATCCACTGTACCCTGACTTCCCCTATTCATAGTTTTTTTATTTATAAACTTAATATATACCAAGTTATGTTTTTTACGTTTAAATCAAAACATGCGTTATCTCCTTATATATTTCACTCTTACTTTGCAGAAATATCTCATTAATACCCATCTGATAATTTTGTAATTCCAAGATCTTATTTAAAACTCAATTCATTTCAAATTCAATACCGTGGACCATTTATATGGAAAAGTTTTTAAAAAAACATTATTAAAAATAAAATTCTTCTAAGAGCAATTCTAAGAACATCTCCTTAGAATAATTCGAAAGAGAATCTAAACGTTTTCTATAAGAAAAAAATTTCAATATTTCTTTTAATATTTCTTTTAATAAGTTCGAAATTAATTTAGCTTACCAAATATCTATTGGTTTTTTCTCGAAATTAATTGCACACTTCGAAACTCTTTTTTTTCTTTCGAAATTAATTTGACTTTTCAAAATACACTTTTTTTTTTCGAAGTTAATTTGACTTTTCAAAACTCTTTTTTTTCTTTCGAAATTAATATCACTTTTCGAAATACATTTTTTTTTTCGAAATTAATTTCACATTTCGAAATTCTTTTTTTCCTTTCGAAATTATTTTCCTATTTCGAAATCCACCTTTTTATTTCGAAATTAATTTCACATTTCGAAATTCTATATTTCCTTTCGAAATTAATTTCCTATTTCGTAATCCACCTTTTTATTTCGAAATTAATTTCACATTTCTAAATTACTTTTTTTTTTCGAAATTAATATGGCTAGTTCGATTATTATCGAAAGTTTTTTTAGATTTCGAAAAAAAAGAAGTATTTCGATAACGTTTTAATCGAAAATTTTCGAAAATTGCAATTTCGATAATGAACCCTAATATTTTTATCAAAAATTCCAAATTTCAAAACTTATTAAAGCCAAAATTCAAAACTATTTAAATGTTAAAGGATATTACTAAGATATTGATATTACTAAGAATATGATATTACTAAGAATATGATACCACAAGTTACTTTTTTGCAGTAAAAAGTACACATAAGTCATATCACAAGTATACATATAAAAAGTTTAGTGAATGAGAATAATTACATCTCACTTAAATTGCTTTTATTATTTTTAGGTAGGTAGTTTCTAGACTGTCTGATTAAAGGTATTTTTGTGATTACAGAATAAAACTACGGTTGATCAAATGATTGTAAACTTACAGTTGTTAAATTTTTTGAAAAGTTTTGAAAAACATTTTGAAAGTTTAAAGAAGAGAATTAGTCTAATTCACACCTACAAAATCTTTAATTACTGTAAAAGCAGTTTTGGTAGACAATTCTTCAACAAACACATGTCATAAAGCAGAAAGGGTTGTGGAGTTAAAGAAAAAACTTGGATGAAAACTTCAGACTATAGGCTATAATCTTCATCAAGATAAGATTCCCTTTAGATCTTTTTTTTAAAAAATTGATGGAGCAACTAAGTCACCAAAACATTTTGCTGGACCAATAGGAAAAATGGCATATATCAATAATGAGCTTCAATTAGTTAATAATTTTGGTGTTATTAAGTCTCTAATTATTGTTTTAGAAAAAGAAATTTTAGATGGTTTAAATAGTGAATAGAGGCTTTTATATGAATATTGCATTGGAGTTGCCACTGGATATATGAGTATTAAATCTTCAAGTAGGAAAAATAGTCCCCTTAATCATTCTTGTTGGTTAACATTGGCAATATGGTTGATGTCTTTATATGTCCAAGTTTTAGTTCCTGATTTTGAATTAATTATTTTGGTAACCTATATTGTCCAAGTCTATGTTCCTACATGGTTCCTCCATAAAAAGAGCAATATGTTACAGGAAGCTCTGTCAATTATATATTTTATGATTAATCAAATCAAGCTTCAAGGAAAAGAGGTGCAAGATATTTGCTTAGCAAACTTAAGGTTAAATACTTTTTGACTACTTTCCATATTTTGTACTCAATGTTAAAGTTAGAGAAAATATATATAAGATCAATAGCAATGCAGAGATTACTTGATATTAGAAATCATAATAAAGATGGCCAAACTATAAACAGAATCAATAAAATTCAAGAAATTAAAATTGATGCTCATATATGGTAAGGGCTTATAAAAACTTTTAATAAAGACATAGATGAACCAGCAACAACTCAAGATTTTACTTTTTTTTTTTTTTTTTCGTTAATCCACATCCTCAAGACCAAGAAGACCACTAAAGACGAGGAGGCTACTTATTTGTGGTTTTAACCCTCTCTCAACTCTATAACTCCGAAAAATGAACCTTGAAAAACAAGGCCACTGCGAAGAGAAATGAGTTAAGCGCGGTACTACCAGGGATGTGGAAGAGACTGTGGACTGCTAAAGAGATAGTAGAAAAGTTATTGTCTGGAGAAAAAATTGACCTCCCAGATCTTCCTTCACATTCACAGAGTGTTAAAAGATCTGTACAACTTGTTTCCATGGTTTAAACATTGTTATAACTATTTTACGAGGTTAAACATTATTAAAACTATTTCTAAATAAATAAAAAGATCTTATTTTTAATACAATTTTTTTATGGAATCTTGTATTTATATAATTTTAACTTTTGAAAGTTACTTCAAAGGTTTTTAATAAGTATTATTAAAATTTAACTTATTGAGTGAATTTAACTGAAATAATTCTGAAATAACTAGGAAATAATTTTCTACACTAAATTTGTGTTTTTTTCATAAAATCCGGACCAGAATTTAAAAAAGGATTCTGTAGAAGTATTAACATCTAACTTATATTATTATTAAAATATTTTTGATTTAAAGTATTTTATTTTATTTTTCTTCATTACCCTCTCAGTAACTGTCAGTCTTTTTACTTTTTATTTATTTTATATATAAATTAGTTGGGTCCTGAATTTATAATATAATGCCAGAAACGCCACAAAATGCGCAGAAAGCTTAGGATACCACTTCAAACCTAAAATCGCTCATAAAGAATCTATTTTTCCAGGATGTGTTTTTGGAGCGTTTAGAAAATATCACCACAATAACACCTTCAAAAGAAGTTATAATTCGACCTGCCCTAGTGCATTAACAATGTTGATCTGTCTCAATGTTAACACCAACCTAACCTAATTGCAACCTCTAGATATAATACATTACATATACAGTGAAAAAATTTTTTGGAAACATGACCACTTTTTAAAAAAACCTATAAAATACAAAAAACACAACAAAATGCTATTCTTTTGGTAGCGTTAAACTAACAGTTTTATAACTGACAGAGATTTACCCTAAAAACATCATTTCAGAAACACTGTGCAGCACAAGATGCCAACCTAGATTCATTCTTGTAAATATAAAATGATTTAAAATAAAAACTATCATGCTAATTTTTTAAATTTTAACTTTAAAACATCACGCACCGGTATATTAACTTTGCGAAACATTTCTGCCCCCCTTCTTGCATCAAGCAGTGCAATATCTTGTGGTGTTGTAACAACAATGGCTCCTATAGTAACAGTATATTAACTTATATTATCAGTATATTAACTTATATTAACATAAAAAATTCATTAAATAAAGCTTTATAAAATGGTTATTTATGACTAGTAAGAATTTAAATTAATGGTGTAAAAGTGTATATATAACTTTACACCAAAAGACATGAGGTTGCAACATACCTTGCCATATTTGCTAAAACTAGGCATATTTTGTTTAGGAAAGGCTAGAAAATTTTAGGATAAATCTGTTTAGTATAACCAAATATTACTATTCTGTTGATTTGGAGAAGCATTAAAAAAAATTGTTTAATGTTTTTTATTATGCTGATAAAGAACTAGTAATTATGATGTAATCATTATTACATGCACTTTCAACTTAGTGAAATGTAATTAAACAAGTGAAACTCAAAACCTAAAGAGTTAAAAACCAGTGTACCACATGGCATGCGCTAAACTAGAAATTATGGCATATAGTAATTTCTAATTAAAAATTATTCTGCAAAAAGAGACAACAATGATATAAAATAACTTGCAAAACAAGTGTATTAAAAATAATGCAAATTACTAGTACTTGTATTATCACAATCTATGCTATTTATCACCTACAGCAGTTTATAAGATCATTCCTTACAACCTTAAAGTTGAAAGTATATTTTATTAGACTTTATTTTATGATTTATATTTAGATTTTATCTTTATTTATTTATTTTAGTCTTTTTTTTTTATATAGCCATTATTGTGCATTTTTCTGTTATTTATTTAGTTTTTATGGATAAGACAAAAGTGACAAAAATTTCAATTGGACTTCAACATTTTTAGTTCAACTAAAATTTTAGACTGAATAAAGTTTTATTTTATATGGCTTTATATTTATTATAATTTCAAAGTTTTTTTTAAGCTTTATAGAACTTCATATTGGAAAAAGTAACAAAAAATAAAAACTGTAATTAAACTCTTATTATTTATTTGAAAGATCAATACATGACATTAACATATAAAAATATTTTCAGGCATATAGGCACCGCAGCTGTTCTTGACGAAACCCATTCTGGATGTCCAATTTTGAGCCACTTTCTCAAGAGATCTGGTCTGATGTCACAAAAAACACAAACAATGCTGGCCTCCAAGGCATCAATAGTTGCTGGTTTATAAGCATAAACCAGTGACTTCACATAGCCCCACAGGAAATGATCCAGAGGTGTCAAATCGCACGACCTTGGAGGCCAATTGACAGGTCCATTTTTTGAAACTAACTTCAAAAAAATCTCCAAATTTTGATTTTAATAAGCCAATGGTTGCGGTCACTGTATGGCAAGTAGCGCTATCCTGTTGAAACCACATCTCATTTGTATCAATGTCGTCTATACTTTCAAACAAAAAATTGTTGACCATGGTGCGGTATCAATCTCCAATGACCGTAACGCAAGCTCTGGCTTTATTTTTGAAGAAATAAGGTTCGATGATGCTACCAGCGTGTTAAGGGCACCAGATAATGCATTTTTCTGGATGTAATGGAGTCTGTAGGGATTGTCTTGTGGATTAGTCTCACTCCATATGCGGCAATTTTGCTTATTAACAAAAATGAGCCTAATTGCTAAACACAATTGGGTGATAAAACAACAGGTCAGTTACTAACTGCTCTAGACCCCAATCGGCAAACGATGCATATAATGGTTTGCCACTTTAATTTTTGCACCAACTGGATCTTATATGGGTGTAGGCCGAGGTCTTAGCTTAAAATTTTCTATGTCATGGACAGGCAGAGCTAAAATTCCTGTGACTAACAACGAATTGATAAATTTCGATCCTCTTCCACATTTTTGTTTACATCAGAATATTCTCTTCAGTATGCACATTCCTTCGACGAGTTATTGAATCCTCTAGAGATAATACAGTACAAAATTTTTCTACAGTTCCACGGATTGCTTGCTCAGAAGGACGATTATGTGCTTCATAAAAATCACAAAGTTTTCTATAAGTTGCCCAAATTGATGACTTATTTTCAAAGTAAATTTTAATAATTTCGTAGCGTTGCAAAGTTCTATCAGGCTTGAAATAACACCCTTTATAAGCGCTGTAAACAACACAAAAACATTTGTTTAATTTAAGGTATCATTTGTCAGCTATAATGATACTTTAAATGAACTTAAATAAATTTATGAACCTAAATAAATTAAAAGGTTTTTAAAAATTTGTATGATGAGACTAAAACAGGATACTTTTGCTGGTAATTTTGGAAAATATTCTTTATACATGTGTTATACTTATCAAAGTTAAAGTTTTTACCTTCTATCAGATTAACTGTTTTCTTGCATTTTTCTGACTCAAAATTAACGATTGCAAAATATAAAACTTCCTAGTTACCATTATTTTAACCATTAGAGGATGGAATGTGAGATGCAATTTTTAGATTTTGATTTAATATCAGACTTAGCATGGTTTAATTTACTTGGGTACAAAATTTCATCATCACAACATTATTAAAAGTTCCTTATAAGCAAACTAGTAAAAGCAGCATTTTTTTACTCTTTTCCTTTTCATTTTAAAATCAAAATTAAATCTTCAAGCACATCTAAATCTTAAACAGATAAAAAAAACTGATCTTTCTTAACTTGGTTTTTTATAAATTTTAGCAATTTTTGTGAGAAAGTTTAGGGTGTATATATCTTTTTTTTTAATGCACTCAGCATGAAATGATAATAAAATTTGATATACATTTTAAAGTTAAAATTTTATTAATTATTTGTTTTTAATAGCTTGTTTTTTTAACAAAGTTAAAATGAAAAACAATATATCACATAAAAACAGCCAATTAATAGTAAGGATAAACCCTAAGTAAAAATCTAAACACAAATATCCAGGGAAATCCCTAAGGAATAAAACTTTTTTTATAAATAACTGATTGTTATTTATAATTGCTTGTTTTGATAATTGCTTATATTTAATTTTAATTTTAATAAAACTAATAATTAAGTTAGTAGTATTTTTTAAATTAAAGATAAACCAAAATAACTAACACAATATTAATCGTCAGTTTTATCTTTTTTATCTTTCTGAAAATCTTATTAAAGTATTTTTTTTTTTTATAAAAAAAGTTTATTTACCATTTACATGAACTTCTTGTGATATAGAAAGTTGAGTGTCTCCAGTACCTGGTGGCATATCAATTATCAAATAATCAAGTGGACTCCAATTTACTTCTCTTGTCAATTTGTGAATAGCTGACATGACCTAAAATTAAAAACTAAAATATGCATAAGCAATAGTCAAAAATAATTTTCAACAGAAGAAGAGATGAACAAGTGGCAAGTAAAAAATAAGTTTAATTTTATTAAGTAGATTTTTCTATAGCTTAATTTTATTATGTAGATTTTTCTATATATCTTCTATAGAAAACCAGATGTTATGTTTGGTACTCAACATTCTTAAACAAACATGCATAAGTATCAGTTACATTTACAGTGACATTTGTAATGCAAAGTGGTACAATGTTTGAAATAAATCAAAATTTTTTTTTAATTTTAAATATTGTTGGTATTTCCCAAATCACTTCAACTCTTGCCTTAAGCATGATGTTGCAGTGATATAACACATTAAAAATAAAAAGTTACTTTTAAACTTTGTGGATTTTATTTTGACAAGGAAATATTATTTTGACCAGGGAATTTTAATTCTATTATGAGTATTAAATGAACTGTTTCAAGTGTCACTGTAGAGATAAAAATAATTTTAAACGATTTCTGTTGCTTTTACTGGATAATTTTTAAAAAAAAAGCCATTTGTTTCAATTAAGGAGTCAAAACCTTTCGATTTTGGACACCAGTTGCCTTGATTGAAACAAAATGATTCCTTGACAAAATTTATTTTCAATAACAATGCAATCAATTAATTTAAATTAGGGTTAAAAGTATATTAGGGTTGTCTGTTTGTATTAATTAAATCATAAATGTTTTTTTAAATGATAAATTTCATAAATGTTTACTTAGTTGATCATAGTAATCAGTAACAACATAGCAATGACTCATAAAAAGTTGAAAAAACAACTTTTATATTTATTTAAGTTTAAAACAATATTAAAACATAACAATATTTTTGAAACATAATTGAATAATAATCACATACCATTGGTCCTCGCCAAACAATAGCAGACTTATCATCAACCAAAAATCCTATTGACATGCTAGAGAAACAATTTATTTTTATCTCAGGAATTGTGTAAATCTTTGTGAAAAACGTTTTTAAGAAAACCATACATAAAGCTTATATGGTAAACTTTTCTTTAAAATTTCCCTAATAGTTTTATCTATGGTAAATTCTGTGTAATTATTTTTGCAAAAAAATCTTTAAAAATTTTGGAATTATTTTTTTAAAAAAATTTTCAAAAATATATTTACCAAAATATTTTTTAAAATTGAAAATTTTTTATTGTATAAGTATATTTATAATTGAAAAAATAATAAAAAACAGAACAAAAACTATTATAACTAACATTGAATAAAATATTTCAAATAATATACCATTTGATGCCAAAATTATTTAAAGGAATCATTAAGTTCTCTAAAAACATTTTTAAATTAATAAATTAACAAGGAATAGGTAATGCATTATAAAATATAAGGTAAAAACTAAATAACAAAATCATAAAATATGTCAACCTCCAAGTTTCTGTGGTATCTTTATTTTTTATATTATTGCATAAAAACATTTAAAAGTGTTTCATAAAAATTCTAAAAAATTCTAAAATACTTTACGCAAATGTTAATTAATAAAAAACAATAAATTTGACATTATAAAAATAATTCAAATGTGAAATGCATGAGAAAAAAAAAATTTAAGAACTTTTTTTTGAATTCAAGACTTTCTTAATATATAAAAAATTATTTTGTTAAAACCTTAAACATGATTTTTACATTAAAAAACTAAAGACAAAAACAACAATTTTTTTGTCTTTAGTTTTTTTTCTTTCTTGAAGACCATCAGTTTTGAAGAAACAAAAAGATAATTTTTTCTTTCTTCAAGACTGATGGTTGCCTGACATTTTTAATGACATAAACCTGTTTAAAATTATTTTTTTCTTGATTTGATTGTGTTTAGACCCTTCTTTTATGTAATAAAAGTTTTTACACAGTTTAAATATGACAAGAGATCAAAGATAGCAGTAACAAGTGCAATTATAGGGTGATTCTGACGTAGATAAAAATTTTAGTAAAATCCTTTAGATGGTTCAGACCATAATCCACCTCCTGAAGAAGAAAAAGTAGAAATGGAGCATAAGCTAGGGTCAGAGACAAGACACATATCAAAAGGTAAAGGCAAGTGATGAGGTTATCTGAAAAGTAAGTCACAAAATTAATTATCTGGTCAAGAGATTAAGAAAAACTATGAGAAGTGACAAACCAATCAGTGTAATTAGCATTAAAGTCACAATATTGGCTGAAAGACAATATTGTGTTAAGAAAACGCTTGGTCAATTTGATTAGAAATAACATCAAAGAGTTAAAATTGAAAGAAGAATAACAAACAAACAAAAAAGGAGGTTGAGTGAGGAAAAAAATCTAATATTGCCTTGGAATTACTCTCACAAAGAGCAAGTAGATCTGGTGAATTTTAAATGAGGTCCAATGAACCAAAAATTATTTCAAAGGTCACAAACATTTGTAAAATATAGATTTAAGCAATTTGGCGATAATGATGATTTTTAAAAATATTTTTAGTCATGTTTTAAACTATTAGAGACTTAATCATAGCTAGTGCATGGTACCCCAAGCAAAAAACTATTCAGTTAATCAATTTAAAATAACAATGAGATGTGGAGTTCTTTGTTAATATTGTATGTTTGCCTAATTTAATTTTGATCTGTATTCAAGCCAATCAAAGATGATTGAATACAGAACAAAATTACAATAAAAAATCCCATCAAGTTAATTTATAATTTACTTTTATCTATGTAACCACACTTCAAAATAGACCAACCATCAAAATACACTCCAACAAACAAAAGCATAACTAAATCTCTTGAAATATAAAATACAGAAATAGTCAAATGTTTATGACACTGATACTTGCATAATTTATGCACAATATTATTACCATAAATAAATTGCATAATTTATGAACAATATTATTACCATAAATAAATTATTAACATAAACATCAAACTTGATAATTGCATCAAACTTGTAAACATAAGTAAACGCTAAATGCAATATCAACCACTTTGTTATGTTTATGATTTTTATTAAAGCAGTTTGTGTTCACCTTATTTAGTTTTATCTAAAGATCAATTGTTGATTAAAAAAATTGTCTAGTTGTAAAAAGCATTTCTTTGAATACATGAACTTAGCAATGGACCTTTACGCATGCTACTTAAGTAGCACAAACTATTTTATTTAAGATTTTAATAAAGGTTCAAGTTGCAAGTACTGCCCTATTTGTAAATATTAATTGAATATTGTTTAAAGTATTTTAAACATTTAGTAACTATATTTTAGTAATTTTAATTTCATGAGTTTTAAACTTTTTTTTAAATTAATATTTACTAAAAGTGAAGTATTTGCAAAATTAAAATAATAACTTAATAATAGTTATTATGCTAATTGAACAATTAAGCAAATATGTTCTTTAACTTTTTTTGATTATTAATTACAATTATTAATTACCTTTTTTTGATTATTAATTTTCACAGTGCTTTAAGTTTTTATATAAAAGAGATAATTACGATAAACTTAATAATTTATATATATATATATATATATATATATATATATATATATATATATATATATATATATATATATATATAGCTAAAAAATTGTGTTCATTAAATAAAATTTACTATGGATTTTTTTAAACATTTGAGACATTTAAATTTAAAAATAACTAAACTCGATAAATAAAATTGAATAACAATTAGTACAAATCTTTTTAAACATTTAAGTCATTAAAGTTTAAAAATAAATAAAACTTTTATTAAGTTATTGTAATCTGTTATTTTTATTATCAAGTCAAAAAGTATATGAAGAGAAACAAAACTTTCTGAAAAAGTTTTTGTTTTTTTGTTTTCCTAACGTAAAATAAAATAGTAGCTAAAGATCAAATGTTTGTTCATTAAAAAATTTAATTGGCACAGTTACTATATTGTTATTAGGACTTGAATGTTTACTTTTGTTTGTTTATTATTATAAACAGTCTTGATTACCTTAATTACTAACAAGCAAAAGTTAATATTATTCTGAATGAATATGTTTAAATTGTTTTATCTTAACAAAAGAAAAAAAATTGTATACATTCCATTGTCTTTAAACTAAGTTTAGTAATAAGTTTTAACTCAATTTTTTAAATCTAACATTTAATTTGGAACCAACCAACAATTTTAAATGTTAAACAAGTTGCAACCCGTAACTACTTTTTAATCCATTTTATTGTCCTGAAGAATAAATAAACTAGCTGAAATAAACAGAAAAATAGTTATTTACTAACTAATTTTTTTTTATTGAAACCTATTTTTTTAATAAAAAAGCAAAAGAAAAATAATAAATTATAAATATTTTTTGGGCCCATTTATTAAATCGCTCACACCGCTCCAACAATATTAAAACAGGTTTGTCCCGGCAAAGCCTCAAATATAAAGCTTTTTTCAAAAACATATTTTATTCAAATAATAATGGACAGTAGTGTATATATAGATCTTAGCCAAGTTGTCAGTTTTCTCAAAATATATTGTTACAAATCCGAAATTTAAAAAATTTACCATACATATATATACATATATATATATATATATATATATATATATATATATATATATATATATATATATATATATATATATATATATATATATATATATATATATATATATATATATATATATATATATATATATATATATATATATTATATATATATATATATATATATATATATATATATATATATATATATATATATATATATATATATATATATATATATATATATATATATACAGGGCACGAAAAATGGTTTTTTTTTTAATAAATGTTGACGTTCGTTTCTTTATTTATTGACGAATGTCTAATTTAAGAGGTATGTCAAATATCCAACCCCCCCCCCCCTTCCACACAAACACATTTTTTTTATTTTTATTTTATCTTTTTATTTCTTTTTTTTATTTAAGAGAAATTCTAGATATAGAGGACTTTTTTCATTAATAGATGGTTGCGCACCTCCACTTCGAACCCGGGTGTCGGCCAGAATAAGCCAGTTTTATTTTAACTTCTTTAATTTTTTTTTATTATTTAAATAATTTTTTTCATTTAATTATAAGGGAGTTTTATTTTCAAATAACTTTTATTCTAGTTAATAAGATATATAATAATTAGATATATCAAAGATACTTATCGAATTTTATCAATTTTTTATCAATTTAAAACAATTTTTCACGGATTTGCAATGTGTGTGCAAATTAATGATAACTAATAAGCAATAACCTTTTCACTGTAAACTGTTATCTATTAATACAAAATAGTGAATTTTTCTAAATTTAGTTTGTTAAATTATAAAAAAAAGATACAAACTTGATAAAATTTAAATAAAAGGGAATTATATAAAAATAAAATAAAAGTTATTTTGACATTTTTATTTTTTAAATATTTAAAAATAATAATATGGTATTAAGCATTTAATAAGTTATTAAATTTATAATTTAATAAGTTACTATTAAATACCTGATATGCTATTATTATATTTATAATATTAAGTTAATATAAGTTCTATAAAATCTTATAAATTTCATATATTTCTGCAATTTTTTTTTTAAACTTTAAAAACAGCAAGTAAACATTAATTTAAAGATAATAAGAAAATTTAAGAAAAGCACGCTTTAGGAAAAAGAATGTTTTAGCATGGTTCCGTTTAAAGTAATTGCAAATGCATTCTTTTTAAGTTAAACTTGCAATTCATTTGTGAACGCATGTAAAAACCATGCTAAATATAATTTTTTCTACAGTTGCATACTTAAAAGAAACGCTATTGAAGATCTTCAATAGTGTTACTTTTATTAAAAGAAACCGTGCTAATACTTTCTTAAGAAAGTATTAGCTTTTGCTAATACTTTCTTAAGAAAGTATTAGCAAATACTTTCTTAAGAAAGTATTAGCACGGTTTCTTTTAATGTCATTAAAACTGCATTTTAAATTTTAGTAACTTATTTTTTTTATATTAATTATATTTTTTTATAATAAATAAAAAACTATCAATCGCATAATTATTTGGAAATAAAAAATTGCTAAAGATATGCGTTCGTTTTTTAAAAATTTAAGCAAACGCCAACGCTTGCTTAAGTAAAAGTAAGGAAACATGACGTTCTTTTTTTCTGTCTTTTTTTTAACAAATGTTTGCAAGTTTGTCGCGCCCTGATATATATATATATATATATATATATATATATATATATATATATATATATATATATATATATATATATATATATATATTAACCATTAGTAATTTAAATATATTATTTTATAGAATTATTCATTGTAGCCATACCTCTACTAAGAGTTGGTTCACCTGACAAACCCATCATTTTAGGAATAGAAGGCCCATATATATCTGCATCAAGTATCCCTACATTTGCTGTCTAAAATAACAAAATGAATTTTAAAATATATTTTAAATTTTTGAGTTGATATATATTTTATAAAATTAAACTATCATTTACATTAATTTGATAAAAAATAAATATAGAAAATAAACATAAACAGAAAAATAAATGGTAAAATAACTAAATTGTAATAACCTGTAAATATTTAAAAGTATTAATTCATTATTATTTGATCACAATGGAACAATTGAAATATAATATAAATAATAAACAAATTTATTCATAATTTTTTTACTCTTAAATGGTTGAATCAATAAATGATATAATAAAATAATACTAAAGACAAAAATAAAGCTCTAGGATAATGCTTGTCTATAGCAAACAAACATCACAATCTTCAAATAAAAATTTTAACTTTTTGTTGAGGCAGTTATTTCAAAAAGTAAAACTACAAATGTAAAGTAAAAAATAGAAAGAAAAGTGAAGAAAAAAAAAATTAAAAAAGTCTACAGAACATATTTCTAGAGTATATTACAATATAAATTTTACAATATATGCATTGCTTTCATAATTACAACTTTTAATAAGAATAGTGAATTATGCAATGACTTTTTATAAATACTCTGATTGTTAAAGTTCTATTTTTTTGATTGATATTGTTACACACAAAGATTTATAATTTATAAAATGAAAAAATTTCATTATCAGATTACTTAATTTATTTGATTATTACTAAATGTTAATTTTAATTTGATGTTTGATTAATGTATGAAAAGTTTAGAGGTAGATTTACCAGGTGGAAGTACGTAATATCACAATATGTTTCTAAAAAAATATTTTCAAGTTTGAAAATTAATTTAGTTTATTTTACAAAAATGAGTAAACATGTATAAATAATTTGAAACATAAATACCTAACTTTACCTGATACCTTTATTCAATAAAGCAAATTAGTCTGGCTAAATTTGACTGATAATAAATCATTTATTTTATTTCAGCAACATTTAAATGTAAAATAACTACCAAAATATTTTTGAGTCACACAAACTCATGTATTTTGCAAACCTTACAATGTTTTGAGTACATTTTAATTGTTAAAGGTTAACCCTTTCTTACCCAATTTATGAAATTGAAAAAAAAAAAAAAAAACATTACAACTACATTCAATATTTTTAAAAAATAATTTCAAATCAACGCGTTCATTTTTAATTTGCACATGTTGCTATCTAGTAGGAAGTAGCAAAACTTAAGCATTACTTAAAATTAAAAAAAAGTTTGTGTTGCCAAATGGTAACTTTGGGAAAGAAAGAATAAAATAGTAGTAGTGGTGAAATGAAAAAGTGCACAAGTACTGAGTTCTATCCTCACCACATTCCTGTTAGTACTATGCCCAATCTGTTTCACCATGCAGCGATCTTGCTCATTAAGCCTTGTTTTTTAGATTTAAAAGGTTGAGCGAAGATTGTAACAACAGTTGAAAAAGAAATAAGTGGATAAAAATGGTTTTTATAGAGACTTTAGCCATTTAAAAAAAACTTTTAACACATTTTTAAACTCAAGGATAATATTATCTGCTTTTAAAGTTGGTTTAAACAATTTTATTTGCAGCTGATTTTTTTTTAATAATATATGCATATTAGGATTAAATAAAATCATATCAATCAAGTCCATGCATGCGGACTTTAGTTTTAGGAAGAAGCTGAAATTGAAATACAAAATTTTATTTTATGCAAGTTTCAAACATAAATAACTTATACAAATATACAATAATAAAAATTCATTATTAATTTAACTCTGTACTATAATTTTTTATTTTTTTTTTAACCTATACATATGTGCATATAGTTTTAAATTTATACACAAATGAAAAAATGTTGTATTTTTGCAAGAAATTATTCATCGTTTTTTAATCGCTCTTGGATACAGTTATTGACTTTTCTTTAAAAAAAAAATATGAAACCTATATATTTTTGAATTGCCTGGACAATGTCGTGTTTAAAAATAATAAAAATAACAAAAATTACCAATTTTTTTTTTTTTAATTTTGGAAAAAAACCAATTTTATCAGACCACTGTGCCTTGGTATGAACAGCATTATTGGTCTCATATTTATAAAGAATTAAAAACAAATAAAGTTAATTTTTATAAAGTAAATACCTGTTTAACAACTGAAATTGCTGCTGCTAAGTTCACTATTAAAATAAAGTAAGGTAAAATATAATCAAAAAGTTTTTTAGTAGCTGTATTAGAAGTAATGCTAATATTGACAACGAAGCACTAAAGGTTAATTTTTTATTTAACTTGAAAATAAAAAATCACCAGCAGTAGTCGATTTTCCAACACCACCTTTTCCAGAAGCAACAAGAATTATGTATCTAACTCCTTCAATAGGTGCTTTTTTCGGAAGGCCTCTTTTCATTAACTCTTGCTGATGAGTTGAGATTTTTGACTAAATATAAAATAAAATATAAAAAATCACAGTAAAAAAAAATACAACTTTGCAACCAATATAGGTTCGCCCTTTGTGACTTTGCAACCCTTAAACTTTAAAAAAACTTTATATTTTTTAATTTTCAGTAAAAATTATTTAAAAACTTGTAAAAAATGATGCAACTTAAAATTAATAAACTGTACAACAAATTGTTATTGCATATAAGGAATATTAATTTAATACGGATAATTAAATGATTTCCTTACATTATATCACCTTGGAACAACAATATAATTACTTACATTATATCTGATAAATCTAAGCCATCCAAAACTTCCATTATATCCTTTACAAATAGACCTGTCATACTTTGCATTAAGAAACAAAAACTGTAACAGTTTGTTATGAAGCATTTACAACTATGAAATATTGTACAGGTAATTTTATACTTAAATATGTACTTTATTTATAAAATAACTTATAAAATATTATTTATATATATATATATATATATACATACATATATATATATATATATATATATATATATATATATATATATATATATATATATACACATTAATATATATTATTTTTTGTAGGAGAGCGCCGTGAAAATCTTAATTTTAATTATGCTTGGCGCTGCGCTTTCTTTCGTAAAAAAGAGGACAATGATCAGCCTAATATATATATATATAAATATATATATATATATATATATATATATATATATATATATATATATATATATATATATATATATATATATATATATATATATATGTATATATATATATGTATATATATAATTACTATATATAAAATTTAAAAACTTAAAAAAAATAGAAAAAATAAAGAAACAAAAAAAAATAGAAATGAAAATAAAACTTTTAACAGTTTAATAATAAAGAAATATTAGGCAGACCAACTGAAGACTAAAAAATAATAATAAGATATTTAATAATTAAATTTTATATAAAAATCCTGCTTAAAAAGATTTTTTTTTTAAATGTGCATTCGCAATAAATAAAAATCTTTTAATATAAAAAAAGGTCAAAAAAAATCTTTGTAAATATTTTTACATTTCTACAAAAACTTATTAAAATCTTGCATGTTCAATTTAACATAATGCATTATTGTTTAACACTCATTTTTACTTAATCAGACTTAATCAGCATACCTTAATATGCATACAAAAATTACTTGAATATGTTTGGTTTGCCACAAATCATTTGAGAAAAAGTTCTTAAATTTAAGGCAAAAAAAAAGAGAAGACAAAGATGTATAAATATATAATCAACTTTCATAATGCTAACTGTTTTCATAAAATCGTACACAAAAATAAAATATAAAGTAAGAAATGATAAAAATTAACATCCAAATCTATGTATCAAAAATATTGTCAAAGCTGCAACTCAAATGTATTTTTTGCAGTTTCATTGTTGACGTTTTCTTGCATAAAATCCCAAACAAGCACAAATTGCCAGAATACCAATAACCAACCCAAGAATTAGTGCAACTGCATCTCCACCATCAAAAGCAGAAACCGGTTCAATACAAAAAGCAAGAATTGAAAATAAAAAAGTAAGAAATAATTCGTTACAAAGCTTCATTTCAAAATAATTGTCTTTTTAGTTTTAAATCTTTTCAGTGCTCAAATTTCCTTTCTAAATAACAACAACTACAAAAATGTTAACAATAATGATAATTAAGTGATTAAAATTTTAATTATATGAAGCTCCTCACAGGAAAAGGTAGCAAGTGTTAGAAATAGAGATTCTAATACAGTTGCATAAAGTTAGGAATAAGCCACAAAATAAAACAAAAATTAGCTTGATAGTATCATTATTAAAAATTTTACATAGGTTTTCAAGGAAGTGTTTTAAAAATGAAACTACAGTAAAAAATGACTTTGAAGATTTGACATACTTTAAAACTGTGTAACTTTTACATATTGATGAAGTTGGTGTATATTTTGATTATTAATTTGAAAAACTATTACTAAATAATGATAAAACTGTTCAAAAAAAGAATTAAGTTAGTTTAAAATTTTTCAATATATTTTTCTTAAAACGCATGTATCTCCGAATCTAGAAACTAAAACTTGGTACTTTTTCTATGAGGCACCTCATATATTAAAATTTACAAAATTTATCATATATTTACAAAAATTGGTTGGGTATCACTCATATTATTACAAACTAGTCAATAGAGACACCAAAAAAAATAAATTCCACAAACTTATGAAAATTAAAAAGAAAAGAAAATGAACAAAACTAAAATTAAAAAAAAGTAAATAGGAAAAAAAAATTAATTTAAAAAACAGAATTTGGCAAATAATACTAATAATAACAACAATAAAAATGATATTTTTGGTATCATTAGATAGAAAGGAAACTATAAGATAAGAAAATAAAAAAAATAAGGAAAGAATTTTAAGGAAGATGTATAAGATTATAAAAAGTTGACAAATGAAGTTTTGGGAAACTTCTCAAATTTTTAAACATGCATAACCCTATTTATTCTTTTCATTTTTCTCTTTAAAATTTATTACGAATATTTAATTGAAAAAATTTTGTTATAAAATTTAATGCAATGGCATTGAATCAAATAAAAACAGTTAAAAAAGGTTATAGGGTATTTCCATACCAGAACATCCATAATTGAAAAAATTTTGAGCCACAGGGTCTCATATTTTTTACAAACTTATTTTTTTGATGCATGTTACAAAGAAAAGTTTACACAAAATTTTTTAATATTGACCTGGTTTTCCTAAATGACTAGTTTTTATAATACTTTTAAATAACATTTACCTTAATAAGATAGTAACAGCAAGTGAAAAAATAAAATAAATTTAAAACAAAAACATTTTCCTATGAATTCTTCACAATTACATGATTAAATACCCCTTCAATTTTTGGCACTTACTAATTGTTAAAGTACCCTTCTAAAATTTCTATAAAACTTGAAAAAAGCTAGTGGAGCTTGCAACAACAATATTGAATATTAGACCTAATATTTTGTATCGACTCTAAAACATTAAAACCATAAAAAGGTTAACCCTAAGGAACAAAATGCACAACCTAACCCTAAGACTTTAAAATTTTGAAAATTGTACACAGTTAATTAAATAAATCATGTATTTCATCACACATTGTACACCATATATTACATGGTGTACATTATGTGCTGTATATTATTTTTCATCAAGAGTTCAATGCCATGGCTAATGACACATTGTATTTTCAAACATTTTAAATTATGATGCAATTGAAGTGCATAAAAGATAAGATTATTTGGATTCGTATTTATTAGCTCAGTTGTTCTCAAAAGTATTTTGAGGCAAAAACCTATAAAAAGTTACAAATAGCTCGGTAATTAAAGTAATTAAAGAATTTGGCTTTTAATAAATTCAATATTGCTGCCTGCAGAGGCGATTCTAGAAATAAAATAAGGGGGGAAAGAGAGAAAAGGGATAAGGGGCAAAAAAGTACCGACTGCTTCCTAAAAAAATCTTAAAATCACTATACTGAAACGTCAAATAACGTCAAATAACTGAAAAATAATGCCAAATACACGCAAAGCCGACTATAAACAGCGCGAAGTGGCCTGGCGAAAACCAAAAAATATTATTTTCAAAAATAGCATATTATTGTTACTCTTTTGAGTACCAGGTTAATATAGTTTAGAAATAAAAAAATTTCAACAATATTAGAACCCATCCAGAATTTAGAACCCAAAGAGGAACCTCTAGAACTTACTAAACTAGCTGGCTAGACCCGTAAAACGCGTCATGTTAAGTCTGTTTCACACCTACCATTTATATAATTTTTTATATATATATTTAGTCTATTTATTTTAATTAAGATAGAAAATAATTCATCCTGGCTTTGAGTTAACGATTAACACTTTATTACTTTAAATTGAGTTAACGATTTGTTTTATAACTTTAAATTGAGTTAACGCTTTGAGTTTACGATTAACATTTTATAATTTAAATTGTCTTCTTTAATTAAACACCGGGGTCGGACGCCTAAATTTATTTTTTTCAGACTCCCTCTTCCCTCATATTGGGACATGGTAGGTCGCTATCACATCTACTATTTATATACTGATCTTTTTGTAGTCTATTTATTTCAATAGGTTTTATTAAAAGGTAGAAAATTATGATAGAAATATTTTCGCTCCTTAAATGCATGAAGCCACTCCTCCCTGATTATCGTACAGACAAGCATAGTTATTTTAAAACTAAATGGAAAAAAACATAAAATTAAAGTGTATATATTTACAACCAAAATTAACACAACGTAACCAATGTCAATTTAGTTCTCTAAAGCGCTGAAATACGTCATTAATCAAAAATAAAAAAAAATAAAGAAACTGTAATATATAAAAATAAAACTACATCACATTAAAAATTTGGATATCTATATACCTATTTTCGGTAACCTGTTGCGATACAACAACAACAGTAGTTGGCAGTGGCGTCACTAGGGGGTGCGTTCCGCACGAGTTAACACCATCAGAGGGGTGACACTAAAATGCTAAAAAGCAAATATGCCAGAATTTTTTTCTCTAAATTTACTTTTTTTAATTAGAAATTTCTAGATATAGAGAACTTTCTTTAGTTTTTAGTCTAGAGGGGTGGGATCAAAAGTTTACCGCTCCAAGTGATACCAACCTCAGCGACGCCACTGGTTGTTGGTGTTGCTAAATAGTAAATATACAAATGCAACATATATATATATATATATATATATATATATATATATATATATATATATATATATATATATATATATATATATATATATATATATATATATATATATATATATATATATATATATGTATATATATATATATACATATATATATATATATATATATATATATATATATATATATATATATATATATATATATATATATATATATATATATATATATATATATATATATACATATATATATATATATATATATATATATATATATATATATATATATATATATATATATATATATATATATATATATATATATATATAATGAAACTAAGTGATTTCTATTTGTTTATTTTTCATGATTAAAAACTATAAATTAGGAGTTGTCTATATTAAGTTACTCTCCAAACTTTTAGTATGCTGTGTGTGTATAAAACGCAAGACTAATTAATACAGTTTTTTCTTTTACTAAAGATTTTTTCTAAAGTTAAAACTATTTTAAACGACATTTTGCTAGGCTTACATCTTGTAAACATAAAATCTTCAATTACGCTAGCATCTGTTGAGGTCCTTTACTATTGCTGACTTTCCACAAAGATGTTTAACGTTAAGTTAATTTATTTTGTGTATAAGGGGAAGTTGGGGTAAAGTGGATCGAGGAGCACAATGAATAAGAGGAAATTTCTCAAAGATTAGAATTTTTTTCATCTTGATAATGTAATCATTTTATGTGCTTATATATCAG